CAACTGATGATGGGACAGCAGTCCTGAAAGCTATTGTTATTTAATTTACATGAACAATCATTTTCACCACATTATAATTTTCAATTTATTTTTGTCAATGTTTTATCTAAGGTAACCAACATCGATGTTTTAAAGAAAAATATTTTAACAATATCACAATTCATATCTAATATAAAAAATAATAAAAACCATTTCTAAAATGAATGTTAACAAACATTTCTAAATATCTCTTACATGAAAGATTTCTTTGAAGAAACTTTATTTTTCTTCTACGAATATATAAAATAACAATTGCATTTCGTTTACAGTTCTTGTCTAATATTCTTTCTATTTTTATTGTGTTTAGCTCTTTCATTTAATCAGCCAAAGTTTTGTTCAATACCCATTCGGAATTCTGATGGAATTACCTTTGCTGATCGATCGATTGTTGGTAAAGATCCTACCGGCATTTTTGTGAACACAAACAACACAATCTATGTCGCTAATCAAGAAAATAATACAATCGTAATGTGGCATGAACATAGTGTCAGTCCAGCAAAGATCATTCACGGTAATTTTACAGAACCTTGGTCTCTCTTCGTGACATCAAATGCTGATATTTATATTGATGACGGTAGTGTTAATGGGCAAGTACAGAAATGGAGTGCAGAAACAAATAACTTTATCACGGTGATGAATGTCAACTCATCATGTCATGGTTTGTTTGTGGATATCAATGATACTCTTTACTGTTCAATGTTTCGTCATCATCAAGTAGTAAAAAGATCATTGAATGATTCATTGATGGCTTCAAATCACGTTACTGCTGGAATTGGTATTGGAGGATCACGCTCAAATCAACTCAATGGTCCTATTGGAATTTTTGTCGGTTTGAATTTGGATTTATATGTTGCAGATTGTTACAATGATCGAGTGCAGTTGTTTCAGTCGGGAGAACTAAATGGTATGACAGTAGCTGGATATGTACCACAGATTTCAACAATTGCACTTCTTTGTCCAAGTGGAGTTGTATTAGATGCTGAGAAATATTTATTCATCGTAGATCAAGGCCATAGTCGAATTGTGGGTTCAAGCTTGGATGGTTTCCGATGTTTAGTTGGATGTAATGGAAAAGGTTCACAATCCAATCAATTGACTAGACCATTTAGTATGAGCTTCGATCGTTCTGGAAACATATTTGTTACTGATACGTCAAATCATCGAATTCAAAAATTTAAATATTTAAAAAGATATTGTGGTAAGTTGAAGTATAATTGAATGTGCAGATGAGATGTGATTGATGATAATAAAAAGTTATATAGTTTTCGTTAGAAGAAACTGAGGTTCGAAGGATAAGAAAATACTGTATATAATACTTTTCTGATCGAAAAACAATAAAATTGTGTAAATGAAATAATTGATTAATTAATGAATTTCAATATAAATTGGGTTAATTCATTTAGAATATGAAATTTCAATTAACTATAGATATTCTTCTTCTTAGCATTCTCACTCTCAAGATGTGAAGTTAACTATCAGATCAGAAAAACCATCAAAGATTTTGATTGTTATTCAAAGAATAAAACAGAACTTCTTAGATGTTACGTAGAAACTATCTGATCAACGTGAATAATATTATATTTTATTTGATTGATTGCGAAAAAGAATCTCAGTTAAATCTGATCATTTAGAAGCTTCTCTCTCTTTTCACTAGCCAGATTTTGCTCCGAATTTTTAAGTTTCGTGTAAAAGTCAAACATTATGCTGTGCATGTCGAATAAAGAATTTGATTATACTCATTTCGACACTGTTTAACACAATGTTTTCTGTTTTCAAAATGTAGAAAGGCAATCAGTATCACATAATAAAGTCAAATCATTTTTAATTCTTTGTGATTGAGAAACAGTTTTTTATCCTTTTGAACACAGATTATCAGTTCAATAGGTTAGGGACGCATATTTAGAGCGAATACAAAATTTCTATTAAAAAAGACTAACATCTTTATGTATTCACGATACGCGTCAATTAATTTTACTGTTCATTTAGTCAATACTCTCTCTGTTTTCCAAACGAACTATTCATCATCATTAACAAACAACAATCAAATGTATTATCGAGATTGTAAGAAGGAAGATTTTTATTACGAATCTATTCAGGTGAAAGTAATCAAAAGTGGTTACTACAGTTTTCGTGTTAGTGGTGCCATTGATCCATATGGATCTATTTACAACAACAAATTTAATCCGCTTGATCCATCGGAGAATTTGCTCGACCAAGGCTATGCCCATTACTCTGATATGCAGCTTAAACTTGATATTCATCTTGATGTTGACATAATATATGTATTGGTTATAACAACATTTGATTCAATAGAAACTGGAAAATTTTTGATCAATGTGTTAGGTGAAAATGAAGTTATTCTCGATCGTCTCAGTAAGTATATAGTTATTTGTGTTATATATTAAATAATTCATACAAAATACATAGTATATCTTCTAAAGTCAATTCTATCCCATCTTCTATTCTGTACCTAGTGAATGTGCTGAATTTATGCATCTAATATTAAGACATTTTCTTACAGAGTATTTATTCGTATATTTTGTTATTACTATCTTCATAGATGGACGCTGTTCAGTTTCCACAAATACTAAATAAAAAGTTGTCAGCACAATCCCTAGCGGGATTAAAATGTGAAACACGATCTAACTATTGTTTCTACCTTCAAGAAGATAGCTTCATTGTATCTTGATGAAGCGGATTTCGTCTCATTCTATGACATAAAGGTATAGAAATATAGAAAAAATTTTTTTATATATGATGTACTCGCTTTATTAGCGTTTTAACAGTTGTGTGAGTGTGGATATCGTAATCTTTGCTCGTTTATGTCTACACCCATACCCACACCCTATATAAAGGCCTATGATACCTTGTCGATCAGGGCTGTGACCAGTTCAAAAGAACACGTGTCGGTCACGGTCTGTGGGGGGGGGGGCGGGGCGTGGTTAGTTTTCTACTCTTAAACACTTCAACACTCCTTTTAGATCGTGTTTCACAAAAATGTTCTAAAAAGAATAGTCAATAAGCTATTTTGAAACATTTGACAGTCAAATACTGAAAATCCAAAGAGTACATTGTTGTAGATCAGTACATCTAGATTTTCATGATATACTGATTTTAGAATACTCACTTGGAGAATGTGAGTTTGGTATGTCTACTAATCTCTACTTTTAAATCAAAATGTTGATCGAAAATCTCAAATATTTCGCTTTGGTCGATATTAGATAATAGTTTCATGAACGAATCGTTGCGAACTATTTGTTTTTTATTAGCCAATAAACATTTTCTGAATGGAATATGAAAGACAGAAATTTGTAATAGTACCGAAATTCTATGAATTAATTAACTTATTTTTATTGAACAGGCACTCCAGTAAATATACAATTAAGATATTCATTAAAATTAACTGATGATAGCCCAACATATTATCGAGATTGTCAAGTACCACAATGTCATTATGAAACATTACAAATTCATGTTAATACAACGGGTTTGTATGTTCTTTGGAGTGAAAGTAATATTAATGCATATGGATATATCTACAAAAATGATTTCAATCCTCTAAAACCATCTGAAAACTTACTCTTATCACATGGCGGTAGATGTAATGATGGACAATTCAAATTAATCATCGATCTCGAGATCAACACTCGATATATATTAGTTGTGACAACACACAACCCTAAGACAATTGGAAACTATTCTATTTCTATCTCTGGACAAAACAATGTCAGTCTTAGTCCTTTCAGTAAGTATTTATATGATTTTTTCAATAACAAATATATAATGGCATAAAACACGTTAAAAGAAGATTTCTTATATTTTTTTATTAGCGTGTAATTGTTATTTCAGGTTTTGTAGAAAGATCAATCAAGTTATTGAATTAAATAGTTTTCAGAATCTTTGGGTCTAATAATTTGCTAAAGAAGACATCTGTTTAGTGTGAATTGTAAATAGGCTTTTCATATTTTGAATGTTCATACTTACATCCTTTTGAATCTTTATGAATATGGAGTTTTCGAAGACTCAAAATCTTGTTCAAGTAAAAGTTTTTTCCATAACTTTTCTATTTCTCGAAATCAGTAGTGAAAGATGCAGATATTTTAATACATTGGAAAATCTTTTCATCTGAGACATTAGTAAATTGCTAAAACTGCATATTTTGATTGTCAAAGCAAGTGAATTTTTCATTATTCTCGTAACAAAATGTATCCGATATTTTAGATCCAGAACAAAGTAGTTGTGTGATCGGTGATCAATGTAACTTTTACATCAAGGGCATTGGTTTGACACTCGATGATATTTTACGCGATGAACTTGAACGGAATACAGTGTTGAATAATCAATCATTTTCGATTAAATTAAGTGCGGGTTTAACAATAATTATGTTTGTCGCAGGATTAATCAATAGTATTCTTTCTTTTATTACATTTCAAAGTAAAGATTCTCAACAAGTTGGATGTGGAATGTATCTGTTAGCATCATCAATTACTTCTCTTTTGGCAATTAGTATGTTCATAATCAAATTCTGGTTTGTTGTTCTTACTCATATCAATGCGTCCACTAGTATGTCTATTCTTCGTGGAGGTTGTGCATCTATTGAACCGATTCTAAAACTTTTTCTTTACTTGGATGGTTGGCTTAATGCTTGTGTAGCAGTTGAACGAGCAGTACTTATTTTTAAAGGAGTAAAATTTGATAAAAAAAAGAGCAAATCTATTGCTCGACGAACAATTCTTATTTTACCATTCTGTATTTTCGGTACTCTTATTCACGAACTCGCATTTCGCAGATTGTTCGTTTATGAAACAGCACCAGATACGGTAGATACGAGTATGACTAATGAAGACACGATCAAACGATATGTATCATGTATTACTCAATACTCTCCTTCTGTCCAAGATTACAATACAGCCGTTCTATTTTTTCATCTTGTTGGTCCATTTATTGTTAATCTTTTCTCTGCATTGTTCATCATCTTCGGTGGTGCTCATCAACGATCTATGGCACGAACTAACCAAAGTTTTAAAGAACATGTTCAAGAACAATTCCGTGAACATAAACAATTGATCATTAGTCCAATAGTTTTACTTATTTTATCAATACCTCGTCTCATCATTTCATTACTTCCTGGTTGTGCGAAAACATCTGAAAACTTGTGGTTGTATCTTGGAGCATATTTCATTTCGTTCACTCCTTCGATGCTAATTTTTCTTATATTTGTTTTTCCTTCAGAATTATATATGAAAGCGTTTAAACAATCGCTCATTCGTATTCGAAAGCGTACTCCTCCCTAATCAATCCGTTCAGTTTCAATGACATAATTATTGTAATAAGTACAAAAGACATTATTTATTTGTTTGCTTCTTGTGATAAATCAATCGATGTACTGTTGCATTTGAAAATCATATTTAGAAAGAGACATTCGATACTTACTTATACCTCGTTGCAGATGATCATCAATTGAAATAACAACATATTATATGATAATGAATGGTGCAAACACAGAAAACGACTGTTACAGAGATAATAGTGACTCATGAAGAAATATTTTGCAATGGCTGATGTGTCTATTAGATTAAGTGATAAAGATTGGAGGAAACGATGTCAACTTTACACAAAATATATTCTTTGCAACATTGTCCACATTTCTTCTTGTCTGTCTGTTGTGTGCTTTTCATATTGTTTTATTTTCTGTAGTAAAAATCGTACACTGAAGAAATGTTTTAATCTTTTAAAAGATTTCATCCGATGGCATGATATATCTGCACAAAAGAGTTAATGAAACCATTTTGAGGGTATCGGTGAAAATGAGGATGCTTTAATTAGTCCTTTACACAGCGCTACTACCTTCATAGCTTGTGCTTTTTTCTGACTGACTTCCGCTGACTATTGATATCAAATGTTATGTCACTATCAAAAAAATTGACTTAATTAAGTTAAATTTGAATTTCAATGTCAAATTTTGCTTTAGTTAACTACACCTTCGCCCATTATTCGTATTTGTTGTATGAATATACCAGTGTTGACTGAAAAATAGATAGAAGAGTTCTAACGGATAAAATCCTATGACATCCAATGTTCATCAATACAGATTGTGTCACTTCCTGTTGGTAATCTATCAATCACTATTTGATCAAATATGATATATTCTGTTTATGTGCCTTTTCATATAGTTAACATCTATTAAATATTCCTACATGATAATTAAATTGAGGGGATGTATAATTTCGCTGATAATTACTAGTGGTAGAAATAGTTACAAAATAGTTTTGGTCGAATAGCTCCTCATTATAGTGCAATACACGATCATGTCGATACTCTAGAACATCTTATTAATGTAAATCATATGAATTTATCTGTAACTACTAAACAATCAAAATTTCCAATTCATTATGCTGCTAAAAATGTATTAAATTAATCAATATATTGTATTGAGAGTTAATAAAAATTGACATGGCTGAAAGGATATATAATGCGTTCGAAATTCCATCAGACAAAGACCATCTATTGCTTCGATTGTAGAACTTTCTAAATTCTCGTTCGCCTGTTTGATAAAAATAACATCGTTTTTTCAGCATCTATTTCCATATATTTCTAATAAATAAATATCATGTCTCGTCGTGAATGTAGAATAAACGAGATATAAAGGAAAAGAATGACACCAAGAAATAATTCTAGTGACTAGTGTCACTACATCACAAACACCGTTCAGCAACTGTATGTAATAGTAGACATAATATAAATTTGTGATTATTCTAATACTGAAAATTTTTTATTAGTAAGATAATCAATAAATGGCACTTAGGATCTGTAAGTATTTGCAAAAATCGTTAAAGTTTAACCACGAATAAGATATGCATCATAAATATAGTAAAAAACAATCATTGAATATAGAATTTCATGAGCATAGATAACTACAAATCGGTAGGTGTTTGAAGAGAATAACAGAAAAATTGCAGTTTTCTCATCTGTTCATTGATAAGAAAAACTTTTTTTTGAACATTAAATTTGATATTTTGATAGAAATATATATTTAATGTTTATTAAATGAATGCCCACATGATGAACAGAATTGACTTGTGGGAGCTTGTCGTGGCGTACTACATTGAGAACAAAATCTTGCGGATTGTCCAGGATAAGGTGGGGGTGCATCGTTACTTTGTTCACCAAAAGCTATTGTCTGATCCGAAGCAACTTGATTAGGATAATACGCTACACTTCCAGGAGCAATAGAACGACCAATATCTATTACTAACTTAAAAAAAAGTAAAAAGAAAGATATTAACATATTTATTCAAAAATAAATCAACTTACATGATTAACGGCTTGATGTGTATGTTGACCTCCATAATATCCACCATAACTTGTTGGAATATCTAATCTCCAACTACATGGTATTGGTGATCGAGAAGAATATTTTCTTGATTCTTCTGCAATTGCTTGTCGCATTGTTTCTGCACGTCGAAGTTGTAGAGTACAACCTGCAATAATACAAAAAATCGTTCCAAACATAGTTATACCTATTGCAACACCAAGTAATGCAGGAAACCCAAGTTGTACATTATTAACTGCTGTTACTCCACCAGTAATAAATAATATCATACCAGTTATTATAGTCAAGACAAGAACAGCGCCAACGATTAATAAAATTTTACTTGAAGCAATTGTACGATTAATTTTATGAATTGATTCTTAAAATTCGTTTTCATTAATTATTCCATTGAGATGAATTGGATATGTTGAATCAAATTCTGCTTTCAAACATCCAGCTAATAATACAGAAACATTAAAGAATAGAAAATTTAAAAAATGAATAATTACTTTGAACAAGAGGTATATATACTGAATTAGGATTTACCGGTATACTAATCATTTTTTCTCATATATTTCACATACAAATATATTTATAAAATCTCTTAAATACTAAAGATTACATGACGTATATATGTTGTAATAAAGTAAATATCACAGATGATAACTACACAACAATAGAAAAGGACAAAATTGTATATTTGACGACGATAGACGGTAGCATGTGTTTTTACTATGATGTCATATAACAACAAAACGGCGTAGGAGAAGATTCATTTTTCTCCAGACAACACTTATTTTTTATCTTTGTAAAACGAAAGAACAAAATATAAAATATTAGTCATATATTTCTCTATGAATATTACATTAACATACAAAAAAAAAGCTTCCTCAAGGATAAATATTTATAGAACTATTTGAACTTTTAATATTTTTTGAAAAAAGTTACATATGCTGAATCAACATTAATATCACAATGAAAATTCTGATTCATCATAGCATTAAACATTCTTTGATATACTTAGACTACAATCAAAACATAGTAAGTAACAGTAATCTTCTATATTTTTCTTCTTTATAAACTATTAAAGTAAATGACAACACTATCGAAAATTTTTGTAAATTAGATAATATAACTTGTGCAGATCATGACATTTTCACAGAATAAAATAGTTAGTGGCATTCTAGTTCTTCATCGATAGTCTGAAAAGTTAATATTTAAATACTTAATCTGTCCTATGCATTGTTCATCTGCAATAGAAAAATCATTTTCAAGAACACGAATCACTTGATATTAATAATGTGAAAAGAAATGATTCTAATTAGGCATTGAACATAACTCCATTTCTTATTAAAGTTCTATCGATATCAACCCTACCTGAACTGTCAATTTATTTAGCAACACATTATGTATTTAAAGTTATTGCTTCATCAAAAAATCAACTTCGATCATTAACTTTAATGTCAGTCAATGTTGAAGAAGAATTTTCAAATAATGACAAACTTCCGAGTTTAGTAAGCAATTTTATTTGTCCAATTCATAAATTTGATTTATTGTTTCTTGCATCAGAACGAACAGATGGGGAACAATATTTTCATTCAGATCTCACATTTTCGATCTACTCTAAATCCATATCAATTACTTTCGAATTACAAAATGATTTTAGATTTGTAAATCTACAAAAAATAAGATTACTATCTTTTATGAATATATATCGAAACTTGTATATCTCTTCCACTGAATTTAACATGGTTCATTTTAAACTTCGAAAAAGATACAAAAAATCTTTCCAAATTTAAAAATATTCAAAATACATTAAATAAATATACAGACAATTTTATGTATTCCACAATTGAATAGCATGAAGAGGATAGATACTATCTAAATATTTGATTATGAATGGTTTTTTTATATTGTATTAACCGTGTCTATATGACTAATAATAATTCGGGACGAAAGATCAGTTCTTCTTGTGAAGATTAAAAACAAGCTTATTTTAATGTGTATACTTACATTTATTTGTACTCACTCATGTAAATATTTTTTGCTTCAAAATACGTGCGAAACGCAAAGAGTGAACGCGCCTGAATGCATCCCCTGTGAAACAAACGAAGCGTTCAAACGCGTTTCATATAAGATCTAAAAATTTTGAAAAATATATTCAAATCCATCTTAGATTCGAACAGAGTCGCCATCAACAACACTTTTCAATGGTCTTAGCGTACCTTACTACACGTAATTAATACGACATTTTTTTCTAACTACGTGTCGACGCATCGATTTTGCGTTCCGTGATTACATGGAATGGGCGAATGACTTATTGTAATGAATTAATAATTATACTAAAATATTATATAAAAATTACAATAATTTTATGCTACAGAAAGTTTTCTCTCTCTAAGAACTTTCTCGTATAAGAATAATGCAATAGTTTACATGTTGTCGTTCTTTAGTAAGAAGATTTCTATTGAAAAATCATTCTTTACCCAATATTTATATTATAATCGAGATCAACTTCTGTAAAATACTACAACAAAATATATGTTATACTATATTTATTTCTATATAATCAATTGAAATAGAGTTATATTTGTTAATTTTTTTGTAGCATCATTTCTAAATTTAAATTTCCTATGAAATTTTTTTTTCCGATTATATAAGTTACGGTTACAATATAAAATGCTTCAAATTGCGTTTAGATATAGAAAAAAAATTCTTACTCAAGTCGTGCCAACTTTATGTTCTATAGTTAACATGAAATGCATTGAGATAATTAAAAGTAAATTTAAATCTTAATTAAAGCGGAAATAGTTTTCATAGATTGTGTGACTTCCTGTAATATTATTCAGTCCAAACTATTAAGATTATGATTGATGAAAATGCATTTATATTGTGTTTAACTACATTTATTATTTGTTTATTAACATGTTTATTTTCATGTATTATATTAATTTGTATCATTTATCATCTTTATCATAATCGTTTGCAACAAGAAGATCGAATAATAATTATTCATTGTATTAATATATATTTATTAGTTTCGGCCTATATTGGACTATTAGCAGTAATTAATATTCAATCAGTTTTAGGAAACTTATATGGATATGATTTTAATTCATCATGGTGTATATTTTTAGAATATCTAATTTCTATTCTAATCAGTAGCTTATATTGGGCTTTTGTAAATCAGGTAATTCATTATAGATTAGTTTAGATTATTGTACTAACACAGTGAAAAATATTTTCTTTTAATTGTTAATGTAGGCATTCTTTCATTGTCGAGTTATATATCCAACTATAAGAAGACTTCAATCATATCAATTATATATTATTTTACCATTGATAGAATTAATTTTGAATTGTATTTTAATGAGTCTAGTTCTTTTTCTACATGATGTAGTTTATCTTCCAACAGACTATTATTGTTTTGTACCATTTACTAATGCATATAGTATGCTTTGGCTTGCATTTGTTTGTTATGGAAATCAGATTGGGGTATTATCATTTATCTATATACGCATTACAATTTTTCTTCGTCGTCAAACAAATACTCCAACACTTGTAGTTAAACAACGACAAGATCGTGATTTACTTGTCATTCGACGTATTCTTATAATTGTTGCTCTATTAATAAGTCTTGGAGTACCTGGCATAGTGTTTCTAGTGAAATCATTTATTACAAATACAGATGATTTTCTTACCTTTCCTTTTGTATTTTTCTTTATTAGTATATCAATGATAGGCGTATGTATATCAACAATTATTTTTACACCACAACTAAAAAAGATTGTTGTTAAAATAATTCAACACAATCGCGTTATACCTCTAAATGACGGCTTCATAGGTTCGATTCCAACGAGACAATAGTATATTACTATGTATTAAATTCTACTTATTATATCTAAACTATCGTTTATTAGAATATATTTTTATTTTTGTTGTATTTTATGTTTTAATATAATATGATGATTTAATTCATTTTCTTCTATATAAATAAAGATACCAACAAAAACTTTTCCCTACAGGGTTGTGCATAACTTTTTGCTCTAGAGGTAGCGCTATGATTCCAACTAGAGTAGAGTACTTAATGGATTTTGTATCGAGTAAAAGCGCGTCAAACACTAGATTTATTAATACTAAACAGTACAAGTTATCAGAACCTTTTAATATTGAACTAGGGTGTGGGTGTAGAAAAGAAAAAATAAACACCCACACCCACCCTAATTTGAAACTGTAAATCCTTGAACTTTTCTTGTAAATTATTACTATCAATTCGATTGTCATTCTGCTTAATAACAATTTTTAAATTAGTTTTTTGAAAATTAAATGAATTTAGTTGAGTTTTAAACTTACAGAATAATTGATTACATAAATTTATTAATAAGATAAAAAGCAAAGCAATTTTAAATAATATTAGCTGAATTATGAAACGATTTTAAAAATGAATATTAGTTTAGATTAGTTTTTTCATTAAATGAATAATTGAACAGATGATAAGTAACATCCATGTAGGACGATACTTCATACAAGCATATGATGATTTAGTTGTTGTTGCTAAAAGGCAAGATCAATTTTTCAATTTTTTCATCAGAATTAATTATTTAAAAAACTAAATCATTTTTATCTCTTTGAAAATATTATACTGGTCAGCAAAATGAATATTTAAAATCTTTCTAATTAATTCAATGTTATTTATAGATATTATCTTTTACTCACTGAATGTAGTTGTTGTTGATGTAGATATAGATGTAGATAAAACAGTTGTTGTTGTTGATGTAGATGTAGATGAAATATCTAAATAAACGAATTGATTTGAAGGTAAGTATGATATCCGCGCACTCATCCATATCTCCAAATCTACTCATAACTTCATTAATTCTAACATTCACAGATACGTTCAAATATCCATACTTCTTCTTTCTTTTCAATCTTTAGAACTCATTCACTGAAGCATCGATTTTTACGCATGTTTTTATCATTTTCATTAAACCATCTTTATCGTGTAATTCTATTTTCGAATTAAGATAATTCAATTTTCTCAAACGCACACTCACACCCAAGTTTATTATCTTTTGAGCCTTGTCAACTCGTTCTTTTTGTAAATAACAGACATGTCTGTGGACTACTTTCGAAAGAAACTGTTAAAATTTATTACATTTGACTAGAATTTCTCAGTTAATTATGTGATTGAATTATGATCATTATAACTAGATTTGCTCAGCAATCCTATATGTGTCTTATGTGTGTAGAACTAATGATTAGTATTATTCATATAATTAGCACGTATTCGACATTTCTCTTCAATTTTGTGGAACTCACGTAACTTTTAGACCAAGTTTTCTGGCACTTCTCTCCTCTCCAATTACTAATAAGTAGGCATAACACATGAGTGATATGTGAGTTACATATTTATTAGAATCGAGAATCAAATAGATTGATTAATAGAAGATCAACTGATTTGTATAGATCGAGAACTCTATGACAAGCTTTTACTACTGAATTATTTTCTTCAAAAAATATTTATACTAATACAAAAAGAAATGAATAACTTTAATAAATTTTCTTCTATACTAGAATTTTTGTAGAAAACTAATCCTACTTTGAAAAAATAGAACATTGTATTAAAGTATTTCAATACTTACCACAAGAACTGTTTAGGAAAAAAAATTTTTGAATACGATTGTTTAATGAATCAGCAACATATATATTTCCAGAAAGATCGAAACTAAAACTAAATGGATTATACAATTGATTGGATTGTGTACCCCCTCCATCACATCCAACTAAACATCGAAAACCATTCAAGTCGGAACCAACAATACGATTATTGAAACTATCCACAATGAATAAATATTTGTCAGCATCTAATATAATTCCACTTGGAAAACTAAGTGTAATTGTTGGATTTCGTGATGTACTTCCAGCTATTGTAATGCCATTTGATTCTCCCGACTGGAACAGTTGAACACGATCATTGTAACAATCTGCCACATATAAATCCAGATTCACATCGACGAAAATTCCACGAGGATAATAAAGTTGATTTGAGGCTGATCCAGAATTAACTGTTCCAGCAGCAACAAAATTTGAAGCTATGTCAGAATCATTCAATGATCTTTTCAGTACTTGATGATGCTGAGACATTGAACAATAAAGAGTATCATCGACATCGACAAACAAATCAGAACATAATGAGCTGACATTCATCACTGTAACAAAGGTATTTGTTTCTGCTATCCATTTCTGTACTCGACCATTCTTTTGACCATCATCGATATAAATATCACCATTTGATGTCACGAAGAGAGACATAGGTATTGTAAAATTACCTTCAATGATCTTTGTTGGATTGGCACTCTCTTCTTCCCACATTATAATTGTATTATTTTGTTGATTAGCAACATAGATTGTATTGTTTTTGCTCACAAAAATGTCGCGAGGAAATAGACCAACAATCGATTGATTAGCAATGGTAATTCCAGTTAGATTCCAAGTGGCTGTTGAACAAAACTGTGGTTGATTGAATGGAAGAGCTAAAAACAAGAAAAATAGAAAGAAGATTAGACAATAACTGTAAACGAAATGAAATTGTCAGTGTGGGTGTAGGTGACTACGAATGACGAATAAATTACACTTTCAAATTCACACCCTCAAGATGATCTATTCACATGTTTTCATCTTATTCAACTTACCAGAAGAATCTTTCATCAATAAAAATTTTTGAATTCGATGATTATATTGATCAGTAACAAACATGTTTCCATAACTATCGAAACTAAAACTAAATGGATTTAATAATTGATTAGATCGTGATCCTTGTCCATGACATCCAACTAAACATCGAAAACCATTTACGTCTGAACCAACAATACGACCATTGAATTGATCGACAATGAATAAGTATTTCTCAGCATCTAATATAATTCCACTTGGACAGCTAAGTACAATTGTTGGATTTCGTGATGTATTTCCAGCTACTGTGATGCCGTTTAATTCTCCTGACTGAAACAATTGAACTCGATCATTCATACAATCTGCTACATATAAATCCAAATTTACATCAACAAAGATTCCAAAAGGATGTGAGAGTTGATTCAAAGCTGATCCTTCAATACCTGTTCCAGCGGCAACAACATTTGAAATCATCACAGAATCATGTAATGATCTTTTCAGTACTAGATGATGACCAGGCATTGAACAGTAAAGAGTATCATTCATATCAACAAACAAACCATCACATGATGAGTTGACATTCATCACTGTAACAAAGGTTTTTGTTTCTGCTATCCATTTCTGTACTCGACCATTCTTTTGACCATCATCGATATAAATATCACCATTTGATGTCACGAAGAGAGACATAGGTATTGTAAAATTACCTTCAATGATCTTTGTGGGACTGATACTCTGTTGATGCCATATGAGAATTGTGTTATTTTGTTGATTAGCGGTATAAATTGTGTTGTTTTTGCTCACAAAAACGGCGCGAGAAAATAGACCAACAATCGATTGATTAACAACGGTAATTCCATTGGAATTCCAAATGGCTGTTGGATGAAACTTCGGTTGATTAAATGAAGATGCTTAAAGAAAAAATATCATATGATTTTCGGAAAGATTTAATATTCAAAATACTGAAAATGGGCGTGTTTTCTCGTAATTCACATCCTCAAGATCTCAACTCGTTGTAAAGTTATTTCTTTTTACAAATGTTGGGTTGTTTTAGAAACAAAGTTTGAAATAAAACCTAAATACAAAACATCATTTGTAAACAATAATGATTACCCGATATTTGATTGATCATAACCAAAAAAATCAGCATGAGAACATTAATATTAGTTTTTTTTATCATATTAGAAAAATAATTTTTGTTTTATGCTCACAAATAATAACGAATAATAAGATTTTTATAATTCGCTAGAAAGTCAATATTGTTGTTCGATAGAAATAAGTGGCGTTAATATTTCATTTTTTCTTTCTCTCGTCATTATTAGCAAATATTATATAGAAGAAAATCATAAAAACCAATATTTTGTCATATCACTTTACACTAGTTGTTAATAAATAAAAAGAACTATTACTTCAAATGTACTTTTATTCATATGTACTTTAATATTAAAAAGGAAACAACATATCAAGGTTCTATAGAATATGGATTATCTACAGTTTAGAATGTATCGTTTTCAGTCCAAATGAAGTGTATGCAGGTAAGGATGAAGATGAATGTTGTACTCATTCATTATTCAAAAATATATCAAAGAGAAACAAGCGGACTACTGTATTTCTAAAGTACGAAAAGTCCGCTTAATCCATCTTGAAATATATACAGAGAAGGAGAGACTTAAAAAATAAGCAGAAGATCAAATGACTAAAATAAATATTAAAAAAGAAAGGTAATATCTACTAATCGATATATGAATAATAAAATTTGTTTTTTTT